ATATCAAATTTCCAGTCAAGAAAGAGAGTAAAAGGAGAGTTCGGTGATCTCTTGGACAAATCACYCTCTAGGACGCCAAGATAGGTTCAGCTAGGAAGGGGAGGAACAAGGGAAAAYAGGAGYTTTTCCCYGTGGACCGACCCGTGACGAGATCCTATGCCCGGGCCCATAACAAAGTTCTCCTTAGGGTTCTTCTCTTGCTCTTCCTTTTAAAATACCTTAATTCAGCCTACTGTTGTTCCTGTCTCCTTTCCTGCTAAGGAAGTGTGGTGTACTATTATTCCACCAAAGTTTAGAGCTTTTTGTTGGGAAGTGGTTTTCCAAAAGATCAATAATAATGGATTTGCTTCTAAGAAAAAGGCCAGATCGGTGCCTCTCCCCACATGCTTGTAGCCTTTGCTTGAGGAGTGGCGAGACAATGACTTATCTATTAATCTCCTATACTTATTACTCATGGGATTGGTTCTATTCTCTCTTTGGTCGCAGGTGGAATCCCCCCTCATGTGTGCTGAACCTTTTTGACTCTAGTTTCTCCCAACAACCAAAACAAAGGTAGGGTGACATGGAGAAAAACAAGAGTAGCCATCCTATGGTCAATTTATGAAGAGAGAAAATATAAGATTTTCCAAGGGCAAGAAGAATCCAAGGAAGCACTTGTTGAGGGCATTACCATCAAGATTATACATTGGCTGAAAGCTTTGCAACTTTTCAAGGGCAAGAAGGTCAGCAAATGGAATGGCTGACGATTTAGCTAAGCAAGGAGTCAATAGGGAGGCTTTGTTTTGGGCTTGTATGTAAGACCTATTGTTTTTGGTTTCACCAACCGTCCTTTGTGTGGTGACAATTGTACTCTTAACTTCATCAATGAAAGTTCCTGTTTCCTATAAAAAAGGCTGTGGATGGGGCTGAGGGTCCAACCCAGATGATTGATGGATGCCAAAAAGATTCCTGTTTTTTCTATGGTATATTGCCTATCCTTATTCAAGAAAAGGCATTATTAAGCTTAAGGACATATGCACTATCATTCATTTATATTATACTATACCATTTGCTCACTTATTAAGGTTAGCCAAGATAATGCCATATCTGTACATTTTCTAACTATAGCTCCTTTGCTCAGTCATCAGTTCTTCATTCACAACCAAAATCAACTGTTGGAACACCGGCATATATTGCTCCTGAAGTATTACTTAAGAAAGAGTATGATGGCAAGGTAAGATCATTTTTACTCATGCGATTTATTCTATTTGCCTTATAGGTCTAAATTTTAGTAACAATACATGTTTTTAATACCAAGAAACATGTTTTTTCCACTATGACTTTTACATGCCTGTCTGTACGTTTTCTTGTACTTATACATGCTTGCCTGCTTTTGTCTGATAATATAAAACTTGTCCTTTCCATTTAAAAAATGCTTTTTTCCTACTAGTGTTTTCTCTTTATCCATGTGAAAAAATTCTGGGGGATATTAAAATGATATGCCAAGGTATAAGTAATTTAATGTTTGTTTTGGTATATAAGAAGGTAATATTCAAGAAATGATTGCTACCTGATGACTTAACTATCATGGATGTACAAACATATCGCTGGTTATTTTATGTAGAAAACAATGTATTGCAATTTATTTTTGTGTTTCAATTCATGGTAAATGATACCTGTTAACTAGTTTCTTGGACACAATTCTCTTATGTTGATTGCAGTGGTTCTAGAATGTGAACCAGTTAAGTGAGGCTGCTACCTCAATACTTCTACCATAGTAGCATGTATTTTTCTGGGTGTTTTCTAGACCAATGCTAGTTGTTTTTGATGCCTTCTGGTGGTCAGTTTTCTGGTATGAAACCATATCAAATTCATATTATACATGCATGCTAACAGAAATGCTATATCTTCATTTATCTTTGCATGTTCCACCTTCAACCATGTTGAATTGTGTTCACTTCCAACTATTGCCCTTTCTCTTCAAAATAAATAGAAAATAATTGAAAAAATGATTCTTTCCAGGATGTGCAAGAATGGTCTTTTTAGACTTGCCACTTTTACATGGAATGCTTTAGTTGCCTCACTTGTCTTGGAGTAAATACAAACAATGTGCTAGGGCCTGGTTCTGGGTTTTGTGTGCATTGGCACACATGCACGTGCATGCACACACAGACATAAATGTACACAAACTTTTTTTGAGCAAAAGGTAAAGTATAATTATATTAATGAAAAGGTCCTTTGTACAATGAGAAGCTGTACAAAAAGCCAGCATGACCTCAAATGTACAAAAACTCTTTTGAGGTGTTTTACTGTTTTTTGTATAGACATTAGTCACCTTATTTTGTTGGATGAGGGCCATGGGCCTTTTTTTTTCTTTTTCGGTGAATAAGGGAAATGCAAGAATCTTTGGAAAAATGTTATCTGGAAGTCAATATTCCAATTGACTTTATTGTGATAAGAGTGGTTTGTTGGATTTAAATAGAGAGGAATTCAAAGGAGTGTCATGTCAAACTTGTAACGAGTCAAAAGTGTATTTTTGAAGAATCATTTTATCATGTACTGATGTACTACAAGAGTAGCCACTTTGTGCTAAAATGCCAAAGGTTTGGTCTGAATGCAACCCACACCTACCAAGACCCTGGATAGCCAAGACCATCATTAGGTAATGGCCTTAAATTATTGTAAAAGAGAGTTACAGCATTTGAAATACAACTTTTATTTTTTGACTTTTTGTTTGTTTTGGTGTTGATGTCAGATTTTCTTGATAGTATTCAGTCCTTCAAGGAGATATTAGGTGCTAATTCCAAAGTCTTTTTTTTCTTTTTTTTTTTGGCGGGGGGGCGTAAGGAAAGAC